TTATCCTCCTCAGAATTTCTAAAACACTCAGCAAGTTTACTCATGCAGCAAAGTATTATTACACTACTGCAGGAATTCAAAATTTTGTTTAATATAGAAACATGTAAAGAATTCAATTACCACAACCTGGAAAAAGGAAGACTGCAAGAGATTTACAGCAAACTACTTTTTAGATCTAGAAATATTTCCAATTGGTAGAAATGTAAGTAAGACATGATCCAGACATTACTGAAATCAATAAGACATTCAATTGGAAAAAATGAGGTACAAGGCAGAACAAATAACTTGCACAAAATCTGACAGCAGACACAGAAATTTAACTCCTAATTGTCATGTTAGGGCTTTATTTCTAAGTAATGCACCATTCTCAGAGATGACTTTTCACTTTCTTAGGCTCTGGGATTTTTGGAGGATGGTTAGTTACTTGAAAGGCTGATGGTAGAGAGAAGGTTTGGGAGAAATCTTTGCAGTTATAAACCTGCCTATTTGCTCTGCAGGAAGACCTCACATCTGTTTCAAAAAATCATGCAAATAAAGTCATATTTTAATTATTTTAACATAGAAAAAATTATGGCACAAACTACAGAATCTTCCCACAATGATTGAACGTATGTAAACTCAAAAACAACATTGTAAATCCAAAGTAATCTTTTTTTTTTAATCTGTTTTTGAAACTCTTACACATATTCTTGTGATGACATATATTTTTAAAATAGTCACAAACTTTTGTAGCCAATGAAGTAAGGACAGTACCACGGCTTCACAAGCTTTTCTTTTCTTCCATAAGGATTTATACTCTGACTTCAACAAACACAAATAAAAATTTATTTTTAATACTAATTTTGGTTACAGTTTTTTATATTTTTGTATCAGAACAATAACATGCATAACAATACTAGAGCATTGGATAATGAAGCCACTGCTCGTAACCCTTCATGGATTGGCTTTGACCAACCTATTAGGCCATCTAAAGTTCTAATTTTTCAGATATGCTTACTTATTTCTGCCCAGAATTACATGTTCAAACAGCCAACTCCCCTAAAATAAGACTATAAACCACAACATCTGGAAATCTTATCAAAACATTTTTGGAAGTAGTACGACAGGAAGAAGACAGATAACAGCAAAAGGACAAAGTCTGGAATTTCACAACTGAAAGCAGAGTGTGGTATGAGGAAGATTTATTGTAGCTGGGCTAGATTTCTTTTTCTTAGTTTCAGAAATACCACATCCTGGCTAAACCACAAGTACTCCTGTAGTCATTTTTCTACCCCCCATAATGCACACTTGCTCAGTGGAGAAGCTATAGAAACTATGAGGATTACAACAGAATCACTCATACAGAATCACTCCTCTCCTGGTATCTACTAAACTACATGATATTTGTTTTTCACAGCAATAAAAAGTTGATCTAATCTGTTCCACTCCACTGCAAATTTTCATCTGTCACATTTTTAATCTCAGAATATTTCTGTGTTGCTCATTAATCTTTGTCCCATTCTCTCTATCAAAATGGTTAGATACCCCTTAGACTCCTATGAAACTCCTAACTACTTTATTCCAACCTGTTTCAGCTATCCTTGTTTTATTGTGACTATCTCCGGTTCCAAACTACCACTGTTGTCTCATTTCTGCTGCTTTACAAATGTAGCTAAACAAAGATATGAAAAGCCTTCATGATAAAAGAATTTTTCAAATCTATGTCATTTCTATTTGTATGAAAATATATTACACTTAGGTATGCAGATAAAGAAACTAGATCTATTTCAGGCCAGAAGTTAGAGACTTTGCTCTGTCAGGTTCAAAACAGAAACAATGAATCTGAAATCAATAATGCTCTATCTTAAAATCAACCCTACTTCTGATTTTGTTTCTCTTAGAAAAGTTAAAATTGCATCAGAGTGAAAGAGGAGTTACTTATCCATAAACATGATACCTTTGCATATTCTCATTTGTGGGTACTGTGAGATGATTCACATTTCTGGTGCTGATGACCCTTGGAGACGGCCTGGAAAAGCAGTGCCTGTTGGGACTACATGAGCATCCCCTGGTGACACTGGATGAGCACAGACGTGATCCCAAATGGCTTCTCCTTTTTTTTCATTTATGCCTAAACTCATACGACACAAGATCTCCATGGGCGAGAGAGGGAAGTAGTACCAGTGAGCTCTCTGGCATAGAAACCGCTGCCAAACTTTTATTTCTGTTATCTTTGTGCTTGCAGGCATAAGGAAACGGAATATAGGTTTTCACAAATATCATATCCTGGTAAGACCCAAGGATCGTCCAAAAGGAACTCTGCACAGATACATGCTAATATGAAGATGATATCAAGCATCTAACAAACTAGCAGCAGAGCAAATATGCCAGGAGCTGCCACATACCCCCTCCCTGTGAGGCCAGGTACCAAGGACAGGCATTGCGGTCACTACCTTACAGTGTTTCTGCAGCAGCAGGATAACCTCAGAAAGTGATTGGAGCCAAACATAAATGGTTAGGGGCAAAAGGCTTATGCTTCCCCCAGTATAATGGTTTGCAGGCTGGACAGTAGTATATCTGTCCCTCTGCAGGTATGGAGGAACATCTCAAGAACAGAAAAAACAATGTCCCTCATAGCGTCTCAAAGACAACCTCTCTGCCAGGGATCTGGTAAAATTTCACTAGGCCCAGCAGTGCTGGAGAACAGGATATTCAGGGAGAAATGTAAACCTCAGAAAGCAAAACCAAAATACGCTGATTTAAGTCTATCTCTTTTATTCTCTCTTTCTCATCTTTCGGAGTTCTCTGGTTTATGAAACATATATAGAGAGTTAACGGCTGTTTCAGTCCAGAAGTCTAGCTACCCAATGGCACAGAAATTAAGTAAAGGTTCATTGTAAATCTACTCGAGCAGTCTAAACAATAACATTGTTCGCTACTGATAAATGTGACATGAAGAAGGCTGGTAAAACTGAACAAATCCAGTGTTCACAGAGCACAGTTCTTTGCAAGCAGAATGATTCAACAGCTAAAAAGCAATTAGAGATAGTTGGGAACTATAGAGATCATCTGTGAAGGGCTCTGTCAGCAGGACTTGGGCTCAGCTGTCCATGTGGCACTGCGTTTCTCAGAAGCTCCTACAGCTCACTCAGCAGCACAAAAGGACTTCATTTCACAAGTGGGTTATGTGGAGACCACTTCAAAGAGGAATGATGGGCTGTTTTCCCCACAACCGCAAAAATAATTTCTTTAAAAAGCACAAAAATTAGTTGAGGTACAACCCTGTTTTTTATCAAAAATCATAATAAAGTGGCAAAAATCATGGCAAAACAGGTAACAGTCACAGAGGTAAATTCTTTGCACAAGGGGGAAGATTCTGGCTGGGAGAACTGCTATTTTGCTGTTATTAAGTTCGGTTATGCAAAGCCACGGGCAGGTTTTTTTTTTTTTAAATTCAACAGTGAATGCTGCAAGCAGCTACAAATAAGAAAATCATAGAGTCATAGAATCATTACGGTTGGAAAAGACCTCTAAGATCATCCAGTCCAACTGTTAACCCAACACCACCATGCCCACTAAACCATGTCCCTAAGCGCCTCATCTACACGTCTTTTAAATACCGCCAGGGATGGTGACTCCACCACTTCTCTGGGCAGCCTGTTCCAAGGCCTGACCACTCTTTCAGTGAAGAAGTTTTTCCTAATGTCCAGTCTAAACCTCCCTTGGCGCAACTTGAGGCCATTTCCTCTCGTCCTATCGCTGGCTACTTGGCAGAAGAGACCAACCCCCACCTGAGCCTTCATGAGAAATACCAAATACCAGAGCCTTCATGAGAAACAAAAAGTACAAAAGAAACGACGAAGACAAAGACTAGTGAACATTGTGTGAGAGGAACAGCCTAATGATGACAACACAGATCAGACGGTAGGGAGAAGCAGATTAAAAGGAGACCAACTATAACTAAAATGTGAAAATAAAAGGCAGCTAAATTAAATACCAATCACATGCTACCTTGCATATAGAGAAGAAAGAGAAAACTTAGCAAGCAAAAAAAAAGACAAGGAAAAAAAAAAGAAAAAAGAAAAAAAAAAGAAGCCTAAAACAATATAAAAATGAGGTAAGACCAAAGGGTCGGTCAGTTACTGAAGAACTGAGAGTAACAATGAACAGCAGACGGGGAAAAGGATGGCAAACGTTGGAAGACCAGCAAAGGAAGCAACGGCATGTTTTTTCTCTATTTCACTTTTACATACTGTGCTGTACATTTCACAGACTCTCCAAATAGCTGCAGCACCTCAGCCACAGGATCCATTAACCGACACTTTTCAAATACATGTGAGTTTAAACACGTTTTCACATCACAAAGGTGAGGGGAAAGACTAATGGCATCTGGGTTTATAAAGCATCAAGATAACACGAGGGAAAGTTATGACAATTAATTTTACTGTTTTGACAGCCATACCTTTCTTCTCCACACAAACATGTTCCTTGCTTCTGATAACCCAAAACACAACACCACTTACCAACGCCCTTTAGCATACGGATATAGTCCCACAGAGCTATGTGTGGGCTCTTCAGAAGAGAGCCTATTGGACCTATTCTGAGTCACATAGCATGGACTAAACACAAATACAGAAGTCTGTTATGGTAAAACAAAAACTGAGTAAACTAGTGTTGACTCAACCATAGTATGGAGATGTTTTGTTTTTTACTCGAAACCGTTGTACTCAAAATCCTGCTGGGATGATCACAGCATACACAATATCAAGCACCTCACTTGTCACACATCTTTTCAAACAATAGATAAGGCAGTCACCAGGTAGAAAAATTATTATATGGTTGTTTATACCATATCCTGTTTACTGTTGTTTTTAACTACATTTACAAAACAAGCAAATACACATACCAGACAGAAAAATAACGATTTTTCTAAAAAGCCACCATTTTATTGCAGTAATGGAAAGGCAGATGCAGAGATTTATTGTATATTTGAATATACTTCAATGTTCGGTGTTACTCACCTTGATCTCTTTCATGCCATGTCCGACTCCCCGCAGCTGGTGAATTTGGAGAAGGATAAAAGTCTCCTGTTGGGCTTGGCTCCATATTTTCATCTATGGAGATAGTTTTGGGTCTTTTGCTGTTGAAGTAATGTGAGTTTGGCAGTGAATATGATATGCAGCTAGTAGTCATATATAAACCATTTGGATTTCAACAAATATTTCAATAGAAAGTAATTCAGGCATACAAAGCGCAATAAAAGTGGATATTAGCGCTCACATTAACTTACATAGATGATGTTATTTAATGATATGTAATGCAGGTATGTGCTTGCATTTTTCACATGATTTAATATTTCAGAGATGGCATGAATGGATAACATATAAAAGTCTACCAGCATTTGGCTGAATAACCAAGAAACCAGTTCCTGTAACCTACCAAAGAAAGGTTGTGTCATGAGAGTGTTAAACACTACGCAGAAACCATGAAAGCAAAACAAAGCACTGGAAAAGTATTACTAACAAAGTCAAGGCAAAGCAGGAACTTTTCAGAATGTGTTAATAAGGAAAAAATGTAGTTTACTCCATTTCACCAGGTCAAAATCGTAAGCTTTTCAAAGAGGTCTAAGCTGAAACAAAGATTTTTCATTTTAGACTAGTTTAATTAAAACCAACAAAAGGCCCATATTTCAAGTCACACTATATAAAACAAGGCAGCACTTCAGTACAGTGGAGGAAAGTCAAGTTTCTTCACAACAATATATACTGAAGCTGTTATGCTGTCTGCCAAAGAAAACCAGGATGAAGGTTTTAATGGTGGGGGTATTACTATTATTATTGTTATTATTATTTAGACAACACTGTGAGAATTAATCTATCCATTTCTAAAATGTACTAGGTGAACTGCCAAGCTGAAAATACAGTGGAATGAAATAGGGGAATATGAGCAAAGTAACTCCGAAGCACCCCAGCCCCCTGACAGTCCTGTTAAATCCTGTCCCACTGTGCAGACACTTCCTGACTCACTGGGGTGCAGAAACACGGGGCAATGAGAGGTCCTATAGTGCTTATGATTTCATGGGACATCGGACAGTTTCAGAAAACCAAGGGGCCCCAGCGGTGTGGCAGAGAGTACATTATCTGGGAGTCAGAAGGAGGGCACAGCAGGTTCTCCTCTGTGGGCCCGCTAGCTGCTCCTGAGGGAGGGAATGGGGTCTTTCTCAGAGCTGGGAGAAGGGAGCATGTTGAAGCAAGGAAGAAGTGGGTCCCTCAGATCAAACTGCCTGTAGCAGGCACATGGAGACCCTTGAGAAAAATTAGAGAGCCTCTGACTACCTCACGTGCTCCTCCTTGTTCCCACTGTGCTGGGAAATGCCCCTTGTAAGGGTGAGGCAGGAAACACAGTTTCATGAGATGGAATGGGATGATGCTACGGATAAAGACACTTTGTCTTTATATGCCTGTCCTAACACCTTTTCCACAGGAAACAACATCTGTCCCAACACATCTTTCAAGACAGAGGTCCAAGAGGGAGCCCTCAAAGACAGCCTTTGTGCCTGCAACCACCATGTGGCATCGAGCCCTGCCAGCAGGTTCCCGGCTGCTAGACCGACCTGCAACTCAGCAGCAGTTTCAGGACGCGTAGCTGTTCTCTTGGCAGATGATTAATGAGCACTTCAAACCCTGACAAAAGTTATTATCGTCTTCGATATCAACAGCAACGACAGGTAATAATGGCACCACTTTAGATTACAAGATTTGTAACGTGTATCTGTACATAGATTATGGTAATGTATGTAAGTAGCCTACCTCACAAAATCAGAGGAAATTCATAAAATAGTTGGCTGTTGACAGTATTTATGAATTGCTTGTCCTACACTTCTAAACTTGTTTTCACATTAGCACTTTTTTCAAGTTTTTACCTGCTTGGTGGAGAGGACAAGGACCTCTGTAGATTTACACCCGAATTCATATCATGGTAATATGGCTGGCTCGGAAGCTCTCCAATTGGGAAGTTCACTCCAGTTCCCTGGGTTATGGGTGCTGAAAAACACATCATCATAAAGAGTCAAAGATAATCTTCTATCTTTTTAGCTATCTTTTCGTTTTTGACACTGGGAAAAACATCAAGATGTTACTACATGTATCTAATTTTCTGCTTCTTGCAGAAACCAAGTACAGACAAGTTCTATCAATGTTTATATATCTAAAAAAGTGAATTATTTTCCCCAGTCCCTAGAGATCCCTTAGCAGTTGTGCAGACATAATATATTTGTTGTATAACAGATAACCTGGAATCATCAATATGAAAAAGGTAACACAAACCTTGGCACAAAGTCAAGCCTTCTGTAGAAGGGCTTTTATAATGAATGAGGCAGGATTTATAAGGACAGCTAACATTATTTATTAGAGAACTGAAATAACTGGAAAGAACAAACCTGGGGACACACAAACTCTTTTTCCCTTAATGTTAACTCTTTTGTATTAATAATAGCCTTCTGTGCTGACAGCATGTTTTTCTTTTTCTTTCACCCAGTGCCACAGGTACTGCTTCACATATGTACACCTACATGCAAACACACACGCTCAGTGTTATCTTCACCTCCTTACAGAGTCTGTGTACCGTACGTCTCGGCATTTCAAGAATAAATTATATGTTACATATTGTGGTATATTTACCTTTGTTCACTGTCTGTGCATTGTGCATTTTAACTACTTTGGCACTTAAAAGAATAATTGCATGTTGTGTAATGTATCTGAAGGTTTGTATTTTTTCCTGACAGTTAAACTACAACTCTGTTGCGGCTTGAGGTTAAACAAATGCATGGTAAGAAATCCCACAGAAACCACATGCTTTAAAGCTTATAATTAGAAGTATATCGTGTATAACAGCTGCAGAAGGTACAATTTCATAACATAACAATATTGATTCTTTTTTAATCTGAATGGCCTGATACTTTAAAATGTATTTAACCACCTGACAACTAAAAGATAGCTGTATTTTGCACATCCTCAGCCTCCTAAAACAGCAAAACCATATCTTCAGCCAGCACAGAAAAGAATATGTCTTAACACTGCAGGATGGCAATGCTCAGTATTTTGCTGAAGGACTTAACATAATTTTAATTGTTGAATATTAATTTCTGACTACAGCAAATGAAATGACACATGCGTCTTAAGACTCACTAAGTTAACTAAATTCTCCAGCATCCTGACCTGGCATGAATTAACTCCTGTACAAAGTTTGGACAGACAGTTTTGGAAACCTGTGCCTCACTGATTTTGTCCTCATCTCATCAGAAAAGAGATTTTCCTGGACCATTCAGTTATTATAATGTTGGTGTCCTCACTGCAGACACTTCTAACTATAACTTTAAATTATTTTTGTTCACTTCCTAATGAAGTCTTAAGAGAAATACTTTAATAGTGTTGATACTAAAGGGAGAAAAGAAGCATTCAGAAAGCAATGTCAAATGAAGATATGCACTGGTTTTATGCCATACTATTATAGTAAATTCTTAGATGTCAACAAAAGAGTTCTTATTTATATTCGAGTTTTTCTTTCTGCAATAAAAGCTTCACCTGTCCTTTTATATTTACATTTTATGTTACTTTTTTTTTTTGCATGTTCATGTGCACAACATTTCTGATGCCAAAACAAGCCAATGTAATTAGAAATTCAATTACAGCCAGTGCTATGAGTAAAAGAAATACAAGCGTAGAATACATTAAGTTAGTCATCCTCTATATCCATGCTGCGATTTTTTTTAAGAGCTACAAATTCAAAAATAAACTAAAAGAATAATCAGATGGTTTAGCAAAATCCAAGGATGTGTAGGACAACCTTAAAAAGCCGCAAGTCTAACAAATAGAAGGTTTTGTTAGGTATAGTAATTTTATTGATGTATCAGTCTAAGCTGTGCAGAAGGACACATAACAAATTGATTCAATCTTTAAATATCGAAGAGACAAAAGAAGACTTCTGTTTGTTTTATTACAAACACATGCAAGATGAACTGTAATACTGTGGTCAAAGATTTCAAAATTGTGTGTGGTTATAGGCATTTCCTATGCATCTTACATGTTGGGGAGAAAAAAAAACTTCAAGAAAAAAACCTTCATTTGATTATTGCAGGCTTTGGAAATTATTAAATGCAAATGATAACTTACTTCTGGACACCCTCACAAGTTCTGACACGTTGAACACTCCGGATTTCACAAAACTGTCCTCAAGGTACACTGAAAAAGATCACAATACCATAATAAGTATAATGAGAAGATTAATAAATAACTATAGATAAGTTTATACACCAGCTAACAACAGTATCAACAGAGTCCCAGAACTGTAATACATACACCAAAGTACACTGAAAGGATCTAATGAGAGCTGAAACTCAGGCAGAGGTGCAAAAAGTCTTGAGGAGTTGTGAGAAAGCAATTTTTTAATATGTGCATGAAAACTAACAAGCAATACACTGAGTTCCTAGAAAACCATCCAGAAAATGTCTAAAAACTAGTTCCTTTTATTAGTATCTTCAATTTTTAAGTCAGTATTGAACTAAGAACTGTATCAGCTGGACTAAGCAATTTTACCATAGAGCAGTCCTTTCCTCGCATACATTTCTGCTAAATAGATTTTTACTTAACTCTTAGCCTGCTGATAGTGATTTTACACTACCACATCCATTACCAAATCATCACGTCTGAGGCAGATGAGAGTTTTACTATTATTTCCAGTAAAAGCAGGAACTGGGCAAAACAGCTGAGCTATTCAGTGCGTTTTTTATATATATGCTGAATTATATATCTAGAAACCTATGTTTAAGAAACTCCATATTATTTTTCTGGCTTATGTTTACTTATTCTAAGATGAATGTATATGATATACTTTCCCTGCTGTGAAATTCAGGCACAACTTGGAGTACTGCAGTAAAACAACAGCTGATAATCAAGACTTATCTCAGTAGTATAACTAGATAACCTTATAAAAAGGGAGCTGAGAAACCCAGGTTTCTGTGGAAGTCTCATATCAATAATCACTGTATAAGCTGACTTGACTGAATTTGAGATTACATGACATCACAGCCCTTACAGGTAGGAATGCCAACCATTTCCCAACAGAAATATTTAGATCTATACTTGGTGCACATTGCTGCTCCAACAGTATTACTTTTTTATATGTTTTCATGTGAGATGGTGCACTAACAATTTCTTACTGTGGTTTCTCTAGTCTCTTTTCTGAATTAGCACAGGTTTTTTTTTTTGGAAATACATTGTCAATTTTCTGTTCCAAATGTTTGGATGAGTAAAAGCACTCTAAATGTCTCAACTAACAAAACAAACAAACAAATAAAAAATCACCTACTATAACACTTACTCATTTGGACAATAATGGTTCAGTACTATTCTCTTTAGATTTCTTTTGGTAATTATTGCTTTCATCTTCAAGTAATTTAACAAAACACTGCCACTATAATCAGAAAAGTGACTGTAAAAGCAGTACACTTCACTTGAAAGATCTGTCCTTGGTACATCTGGAGAAATCTCTACTTACTTTTCAGGGTCAAACAAAGAGGGCAGAGGCAAAAAGAGCAGTTTTCACTGCTTACTAGCAGTCATACTAGGGCCCACAGAGCCGCCTCAGCCAACACCTCTGGTACTATTTACCAGCGCAGGTATAAACAATGCATCTGACAACTCAAGCTGAAAAAATGTGAATGCATCCAGCTGAGCAAATTTCCTGACATCTCTGTTACACCCATAAGCGAATGTCAGTCTTCCCCAGCTGAAAAACCATCCCAGGAGCAAGTGCAGTGGGCATCCAGAGCACTGTAGGCCTGTGGGATCATCCTGAATGAGAAGATGATGCCAATGCCATCATCTTCTCATCTTCCGGTCAATGTCACTTCATACAATATCCCCGCATGACACTTCATATGAGATCCCTGCATGTCTTTATTGCCACTAGTAGCTCTGCAGGTCTCCCTCTTTCTTTTCTTCGCTTCCTTTCACACTCCTTTCCCTCTCATTTTGAACAGCTTTTCTCCATACCCGTTACTTTTTACCTCTCTTATTGTCCTTCACCTGGACATTGCAGGCCTCTCTGCAACCTTATTCATCTCCGGTTTCTAAGAAATAAGAGCCTTTCTCTTTCATCTTCTGCATTCTCTTGCACTCTTTCTCCATGTTTTTTGTGGGGTGAAATCATGGCATGGCTTCTCAGATATTTACTTCTTTATTTGACAGAACTTGGCATACCCATATCATAAAAAATTGCAAAGAGTTAATGTTTCTTTTTCCCTTCTTCCTCGGTTTTCATTTTTTAACCTAAGAATGGGCAAGCTGGATGAATGCTAATAATTCCTCCAGCGATCGCAATCTTTCCCTTCTCTGCCTATTTCCTCCAGCAGGAACAGTCTCAAGTAGTACATGGAAGGGAGATTTCCAAAGAAAAATTTGGTTTCTTGATTTTAGTTGGCCTGTAAGTGAAGTGTGGCTTAAAGCCAGTGTACAAACATGCAGCCAGCTCTGAGCTGGTAATGAGACAAGACTGAACTTCTCTGCTGCTTATCCAAATACCACTACTTTGAAGCACAACTCCTCTCATTCAAGTTAGGCTAACTTGAGAGGAACTTTACCACAGTGCAGATTAGTCAAGCTATCATTACAGTGAGAACAAGCCCCAAGGCTCATATTAAAAAAAGAAAATGCCCATGTAGGATTTTATATGTAATACAGATGTATACATGTGTATGTACACACACACACAGACACACAGACACACGTGTTTAATCTTCAGCTCCCTCTCATGAATTCTTAGTTTTTCTCACTGGCAATACTGAGAATACCCACATAACATGAAGAGCGATACAGTGAGTTTCTCTCCTTGTGATAACAAAATGGGAGCACGGAAAAAAATCTGCCTCTGAGTGGTATCACTATTTATCACCCCCTCACAGAAGGGATGCATTGTTGACTGATGGATCACTGTCTTTCACCCAGGTTTCATCCTGCCTTGGATGGTCCAAAAATAATGACACCCACAGACATATGCAAATGCTTTGCCTGGCATTAGGAAAGAGAGGGAAACTGCAGCTATTGTCAGTCTCAATTAAAAAACAGCTTGATTTTTTTCTCTATGTAACGTGACAAAATATTATTAAAAAATTGATCCAATGATAAACACTCTATGTCACTGACCAACTTAATCCTGAGCCTTATGTTCTAACAGGGAAAGTGGATTCCAGCGGTGCCTCCGAGTGCAGAAAAATAAACACGGTATGTTCAGTTCCAGCACCAGTGGACTTCAACAGTTTTAACTAGTTAGGAAGACAATCCGTGATGGGTATGTTACAGAACTGTTCTTGGCTCCCAGCTGTACCACAGGAAAATGTTCTGTGCCATTAAACTGCTGTAATTTGTTGCAGAAACATGCACTCTACATGTGAGAAAGGATAAAGAGCAAGATTGTATGCAGCATGACAACTGTACAGGACATTTTGACTTTATGGTGTGAGACACTGCCTTTTACCTTGTGAAGCTGATCTCCCTAATGAATAAGAGTTAACATTCATATTCACATTATTACACTGCATGCAAGAAAAAAAATGTGGTGATACTCCATACGGTATAGGTCTTACTGTTTTTTTGATTAAGCATTCCCTAATGCACTGCTTGCATTAACATGTTAAAGAACCTTAAATTAGCATTCTTGGTGTGTGTTTCTGATCTGTTCAGTACAGAAACTATCACACTTGATAACAGTCTATTGTTGTATTCCTCATAGAGGATTTACTGTGTCTTTTGATGGTCATGATAACACTTTGCTGTCTTTATTGTTCAAACCTAATATAAGCACTGAATTGTCATTTACTAAAACTCATCTTGCCTGAGATGACACTTTCTGAAACACATTCACTAATTGTCATTATTCTTAAAAATCTGCATTCTACAAAAAGAACATTTCTGCCAAAACCACCATAGTGCAATTCTATATAAACAGTCAGTAACTTCCAAAATCATAAATAACAGTGGATTTTTTTCTGTATTTCCTTTTAGTTTTTTGTTCAGGGTGAGTATAAAATCTGTCTTCTCTCCTTACCTTTTTTACAGAAAACTCATTTCTGAAAAATACATTTTCCAAACAGTACTACAATGACCAGACTAGTGTCATCAAGGATGAAAGATAAACAGATTAAGCTGAGCAGCAGTTCTGATCAAGCTCCCCTCATACAGTCAGTAACAGGAGAAACCTTCAGTAATGCCTCCAACTGCTGTAGAAGTTATTCTGTCCTAGTCCTTACACATCTTCCACTCTATTCCTGTGCTATGCCTTCAAGACCTGGTTTACAAGTATAGCTTTTAACCATGCTAAGGCTTAAAATGGAAAAAAAAAAGTTGTTTAAATCCACTGAAAAATATTTTCAGTTTGTACTACCATGTACTGTAAAGGGCTTGTTCTCACGTTACTTAAAAGCTTACCAGTGACGTCTGGCTTTACAAATCTTTAACCAGCCTTTTTATGTCTTCTGATTTAATTGTGCTTTTATGAATAGAATGTCTGTTTACATTCTGCTGCATATTGACTCATGCCAAAACATAAAATTGCTTCCTGGTATCGTTAGACATCTAGGTATTTCACTGATAAAGCCTTGATTTTGAGCAACTTATAAAACAGGAGTAAGGATCCAATCAGTGCAGGAAACAATTTGCATTACTGTACTTTTATTTCTGGATCTTTAAAAAGAGGAATTATACAGCAGTGGACGATAAACTTACTAGCAGCAAGACAAGTACAACATCAGGAGCTACTGTGAGAAGAAAGACTGGAAGCTTCAGCGTGGTTTACAAAATACTAGCAGAGATCTGTAGCTTCACTTTAAGTTATATAGTCTAATGCTCTGGATGCTGTTACAGGTTTGTTTGACTTCTGAAACTGCTACAATTGAAGAGTAAATAATTCCATTACATAGCTTCTTTTGTTTGAGTCTTTAAAAACTGACTTTTTAAGGATCAGTTCTTACTGCTTTCTGCAATATCTAACTTCTACAGAAAGCTCTTTAATTTCAGCAGGAGCTACTATTCACAGTCAGAACTTCTAGTGAAAAATTAGTCTCACACTGTTCATAGTGAGCTAACATAAGTCAGCAGACTTGCAGTTTGTTTTCTTATTGCGTACATTTTGAAGCCAGTATCTTAAAAAGAGGACTAAAAACAGGTTCCCACTGAACCTGAATTTC